TATATAATGTTGCAACTCTCGACATGATGTTAATGGGATAGTTTTGTGGATTATAACTATGGAAAATATTTTTTCAATTCGAAATTAATTATCCCAAGTTGGTATATATACCTCAAAATTGAATGTGTTGCAGTTAGAGTAATTTTATCAGAAAATGGACACGAGTAAGTCACGAGATCGATCAAAAGTCTTGGAATCCATAGCTCTATTGCGGGCAATGGCTCTTTGAGCCTACGTAATAAAATTACTAAAAATATCAATGGGATCAAAGAAGATATAGCATTACTTAGAGAGATCCTGGAAAAAAATAATCGATATATGCCAAGCACATGATTATACTTCATGTTTAGAATTGGGTAAATCAGGTATATAATTCTTAAACATGACAATTTGTGCACATAACTCATCCTGCTTTTTTCTGTGATAATTCTCTTTACTTTTATATTTGCCTACATGTTTATCGCATGCATTATATTTAGACCTATTTCGCTCACCACAATCTCTACAAGGAGTATATACTGGAGATTTACGATGAATATAACATCTTTCTGATTTACTACCTCGACTACAGATTTCTCCAGTTCTATTAATATATGAGCAATGGTATAATATCATCATAACTATATATAATAATTTTGTGAATCGAATTTTATATATTTTGGCAGGGGTGCCCCAGCTGAAATTTTTGGAATAATTAATTTTATTTTAAAGATTTATCTATCAATTAATATAGTTTCAAAATAATACTACATATACTTTTTGTCAGATCAAACAACGCACAAATACAATCAATAAAATGAGTTTATCTAGTGAAGCAAAAAAACGTCTTTGTGAATCATTACAACAACAGCATCTAAATCAAAAATCGGCTGAATATAATGAAGCAAAAATAATTCTCAAAGGTTTAACAGATCTTGATTATAAACCTGGATATAAAGAACATACATATTATAAATACTGGCTTAAATCTAATAGCTCTGACAATAAAAATGATACTGCACTTTTAGATGCATACCAGCCCAAAGAGATTTATTCTCAGTATATAATTCGAATAAAAGAAAAGTTTGCATTAGTCAATCATCCCTCTGAAGTTTATAGAATACCTGACACACATGAATGTATTGATGGAAATCAGCCTCTTCGTTTGATTATTGATATTGATGCAAGGCAAAAGCCTGATCCAGATAATCCTGAACTTCCTTCTCTAGATAGTGAAAAAATTACTCATGAAGATTTGATATCTAGAATTTTAGTCGCTTGTACAGATGCATTAAGCCTTATTCCAGGATGTATACCTTTCTTAAATTCTTTTGCATTAGCAAGTTCATTGAATGCCAATAAATGCAGTTGGCATATTGTCTATCCTTATGCTCGATTTATAATAGACTCAGGTGTGTGTCATAAAAAGCAAAATACGTCACCCTCGAGTGTGTCATAAAAATTGAATCACAACACATTATAGTAGATACATAACCTAGCTAAGTAGAAACATAATCTACGTGTCGTAAAATGCAAAATGCACATCATACTAGCACGTTACCAATTGGGGGACTATAACCATACCATAAAATAGCTGGACTATAACTACCCTGAAAAGTGTGTCGTGATTCACTTTTCTCCCATCAATTTTTGGGATAGTTATAGTCCAGCTATTTTATGGTATGGTTATAGTCCGAATTAAGTGGGATAGTTATAGTCTATTAATAGACTATAACTATCCCACTTCATCATTCGTTTATTATTCGAATTGACATCATTTGTTTATCATTCGAATTGACATCATTTGTTTATCATTCGAATTGACATCATTTGTTTATCATTCTAATTGTTATCATCATTTGTTTATCATTCGAATTGTTATCATCATTCATTTATCATTCGAATTGTATCATTTGTTTATTATTCAAATTGTATCATTCGTTTTGCTTGAATTATTCATTTTATTTGGTTTGTTTGTTTTATTATTCGAATTGTTGTCATTCATTTATTCAAACTATTTGTTTATTCGTTTTATTCATTTTATTCAAACTATTCGAATTATTCGAATAGAAACTCTAATCAAGCAGTATAGTTGTATGTAGTGATTTTAATTTAGTTTTCCAGACTCGGTGACTCCAATAGCTCTGATTGCATGCCTGCAATATTTATTACAGTTTTACAACTTTAGGGTGTCAATGCTGAATTGTTGTAGTTCAGGTAAAATTTTAATTTTT